TTCCCCAAAAAGCCATATGTTTTCTGCCCAATACCTATCTTCCATGTCTGTTACATTTGACCACTTTGACGCCCTTGGTTTTAGGTAAGAAGCTCTCCAGGGCAGGACCACTGTCTGTGCTGCGCCCCTACTCCCCCGCCTTCTTTCCCTTAACATGCAGTTTATAATGCACACCAAGAGTCAGGAGCAACTGCTTTCTAAAGGTGACATCTTATTAGGTGGAAGCGGATGAACTGCCACTAGTTTAATTTTATTTAACTTTAATTAAGTTGAAATACCTCCGTGTGGCTACCGTACTGGACAACACAGTTCTAGATGGAGTGTCTTCAGACACGAACGAGGTTCGTTTGTGGTGTCTGAAGGCCTGGCACACAGGAGACGCTTGACAGAGACATGAAATGAAAGCCCTGTCTTGGTACTGCCACATCCCACACTGACTCCCCGCCTTCGTTTCCATCTTCCAATTCCAGGTGCTTCCTGGGGTACTTACTGTCCCAACGAGTGTGGAATTATACGGCCTGTAGGTGTTGGTGAACATTCAGAAGGCCGTGCCCACATCGCCCAGCAGCTGGGCAACAGGAACTGACCTGCTGGGCCTCTACGTTCTCATCCACAGGATGGGAACAACCACATCTACGCTATGGAAACTGGCTGCTGTGAGGCCGAGATGTACACCAAAGCTGTGAATCTGACTCTAAACAGTAAACCTTAAAAATCAACTTGGGCTGAGTTTCGGTTGTCCAATGAGATAGGTGGAGAAAATTTAACAGGTGTGCTGGTCTACCTCATTTCATCCGCAATTATTGTTACAAGCCAGGCCTTAACTATCGCCTGGCCAGAACGTACAGATGGACAGCACTGTCTCCACCGTCATCATTCTCACTGACCATATTTTTTCTCCCAAAACAAGATTTTAACACAGAAAAATCTGGATTCTCGAAAGAACGGTTGACTCCCTGCCTATATGTCACTCACCTCCTCGTTACAACTCCTTGGAATAAAAGAACAAGTAAGAAAGGTCTGGGGTCCTGACATTTTTAAAAGGCGTCCCTGCTACATAATAAACCAGTATGCCAATCAAATGGTTTGCATTCAGCCACTTACATGGAATTTGGTGCTGTAACATCACTACAACCTACTGACTCAGGGCTCGTTTCAGCAAAGAGCATAATTGCTCAAATGTGACTCAGTGGCTTGGGATTTATTTAAAATTCTCCCATCACCAAAAACTATTCATGCACCAAGGTACCAAACTAACTTCTTAATCTCTGTAGAGATGTTCAGAGGCCGACTCCTAACTGTGAAAGTGAAGAGTTCTGATCCAGCACAGTGCCTGCGGCTCAACTCCCTGGCGGCTGTTTCCAGTCCCCGAGACACCTTTCTCTCCCAATCTGGCCACCCACCCCGCCACCCTGCAGCTCAACGGGTCCAGAAGCCCTGAACGTGCAAGCCCTGCTCCGCCTCCTGCCTCCAGCTTTCCTCCTTCACTTCATCAGAGAGGGAAGTGGCATCTCCAGGCCCTCAGAACCGGAAGCTTCTTTCTGGAAGGAAAACAAGTTGGCAGCCCACAGTGGGCCTGACCTTTGGAGAGTTCATAAAGGAACAGAGACCTCACCACAGCCCGCTGCGGGATCACAGAGCCTTCTCTGGGGTTGGATCAGGAGGAAGTCAGGACAGCCAAGCACAGAGGAAAGCGTAGGGGGAGGCAGAGTGCTTCCCAGCCCCGCGGAAACAGCCAAAGCTCTGAAGAGACCTCCTCCCCAAAGTCTAGAAAACGCCACGCAAACGCCCCCGCTCTGAAGGTTCCAGCACACCAGGCAAACAGTGACCCGCGAAGCTCCCAAGAGCCTGCAAAGTTTCATTTTCTAGATGCTTCCTAGAGTCTGCTGACCTCCGACCTCCAGGAGTTATTGCCAAACTTCCTTCTGCTGGCACAAGGTCCCAGGGTTTCCCAGCACTTACCTGGGAGGCTGCCTGACCCTACAGTGAGTGGGTATCTATCTCCAGGCTACAGATAAGGAAACCCGGGTTCAGAGAGATTAAGCACCCTGAGCAGAGGGTCTGCAGCGTGGCAGGGGTGGGATCCAGACGACAGGACGTGGCAAGGCTGCGTCCGCAGCGGGCGGGCCAGAGCCAAACCCAGACCCCACCTCCCTCCCGGCCCGAACACCCTAGAAACTCATGCAAAAACAGTAACAGTCAACACCTGTGGACTACTCCCTACACGGAAGCGGACCCCGGAGTGAAACAGCCTGGCCGACTCCCCACGGTGCCGGCTTTCGGAAGCCCACCCCTTAGCCATGACACCACCCGAGCTACCGTTTGTGATCTGCAATGTGGGGAGGGTTCCCCGAGGCTTCCCAGATGCTGCCCGGGAAGCGCGGACCCCAGCCCGCCCTCCCCTGCCCGGCGCCAGGCCGGGAGCCCGGGACCCTGGGCGGGAGCCAGGCGGGGTGCCAGCGCGCTTGACGGCCGGGCTAGAGGTGCCACTTCCGCCGGGCCTGGCACCGCCGGCCCATTCATCGTCCCCGCGCCGGGCGTCCTCGCACCGGGTCCGCGCGGCCGGCCGGGCAAACAGCGCCCCCGGCCCCGCCGCCAGGGGGAGCAGGGAGCCGCCTCCCTCACTCCGGGAAGTTGCCACCGCGGCCGCCGGGCGTCCGGACCGGACGGT